TGCTATTCTCTGGCCTCCCAATATGGAATGGTCTCCAAGGACCACAGGACAGAGCCAGGAGAGTGCAATTAGAAGACTACTGAGTAGATGGTAGAGGGAGGGCTTTTTGTATTTGGTCATAGCAATGGGAGTGGTGTTAAATGTGGAGAGTGAGAAGGAAAGAAAGGTAAAGATGAACCTTAAAACCCAAATGATTATGGGGTTATTGACACCATGACTAGAGATAGGAATATGAAAAAAGTATCTTTGAAGAATTAAGGTAAATTATAATATGTATGTGTTGAAATAAGATACCTTCTTTATATCTCCCTCATTGCCTAAAATAATACAAATGGCTTAATCAAAATACACAGTGCATGTTTAAATTTTTAAAAATTTTGTTACACTAAAAGACACATTGCTGTTAATCCTTTTCAAAATTCTCCCCTTGCATCCAACACGCATATCCCATTATTCTTCCCACTTTCTGAGGCAGTTCTGGAAGTCCTGTTTTTGTGTCTTTAGGAGGCATAATGAAAAATACAGTGAATACTGCTGCCCAGTATCATCCACTGGAAAGGCAGGCTTGTAAAAACATGACGGTAACCATGTGACTTCTGGCTCCTGCTGAAAATCAAAGTGATCAGAAATGTCAGCATTTTGAATTGATTCAGGACAGACTTCCGGCAGCCACCACAGCACAACTAAAGACATGAGAGAGGACTTCAGAACTGCTTCAGAAAGTGGGAAGAATGACGGGATAAGTGTGTTCAAAGCGAGGGAAAGTATTTTGAGGGAAATTACTGGTGACATGTTTTTTACTGTAATATATTTAAAAAATTTTAATATCATTTTTATCATACCTCATATTTTAACTATTAAGCATTCATTGGATGCTCTAAGGATTTTTATTTTTGTGTATAGAAGTAGTAGGTCTTACAACATTGACTGTATGGAAGATAAATTTTGAGAGTCCACATGTATTTTGCACTCTGTATTTTATTGCGCTGCTCCTCAGATTATAAAGCAGTCACGTCCTAGCATATTTGTTGGCAGCAAATGTGCCGCCTCATTCTTTACACTTGGTATTTGGGGTGACCATGCATGCATTGTCTTACATGGATCAAAAATCTCATTTACAAGTTTGGAATCAAACTTTGTTAGGATTGCAAGCAATTTACTCTCCTGCTATGACCTCAAGTGCAATATATTTAAAAATAAGTTCATCTTCACAAAATTATCTAATTGTTTCTCACTGTTAGTATTTCTTTTGTCCTGGTCATTTCAGCCAAAAATCTGAATCTTTGATGCCTTCATCCATTAGTCCCATATATCCAGTTATCTATTACATTTTGCGAGGTTCTCTGTCTCTTTCTGTCCATTCCCATAAATCACCCACTTTAAGATACAATCATTTCACACAAATGCTTTTGCTGTAATCTCTCAAAATCTCTCATCTACAAGGAGATTAATTTTTCTAAAGTATAATTTTATCCTGTCTTTCCCTTGTTCGGGACTTGATTTAATTCATCAGCAAACAAATCTGTGGGGATTTTGTGCACAGGTTTGGAAAGGTAGAAACATTATCCCCTTAATCATTTTATATTGAGTTCTTACAGTATGCTACATTATAACGCACAATTTGAAGAAGCTGAATATTTCCAGCCCTATAATGATTAATTTGGAATCATGCCTTTAGTTACAATATTGTCATTTTTGTTTCTTTGTCTTTACAATCTTCAGTGTATAAAAAGCTACCTTTTTGTTTCTTGCAGGACAGGTGGGATTATTCCTCCAGTAGCTCAGCAGCTTCACAGAGAAAATATTCAACGAATAGTACAGGAAGCTCTTTCTGCGAGTAGAATCTCTCCAAGTGAACTCTCAGCGATTGCAACTACCATAAAACCAGGGCTTGCTTTAAGCTTGGGGGTAGGCTTATCATTTAGCATGCAGCTGGTGAACCAGTTAAAGAAGCCATTCATCCCCATTCATCATATGGAGGCTCATGCACTGACTATTAGGCTGACCAATCAAGTAGAATTTCCTTTTTTAGTTCTTTTGATTTCTGGAGGTCATTGTCTGTTGGCATTAGTCCGAGGAGTTTCAGATTTTCTGCTTCTTGGAAAGTCTTTGGACATAGCACCTGGTGACATGCTTGACAAGGTAATTATTTAAGAATTAACTTCATTCTTTCTTGTTATAATGTTTATTTCAGTTAAATAGCAATAGATGCACTACTGCTATGCATCAAAGTATTGCTCAATATCTTATTAAACAAAAGGTTCTGTCATTAAGTGCACAATCGCTGGCACCATAGCCAAATAGATTTCTTTTTCCTTTGTTTTCAAATACTACAGAGCCTCTTGCCACATATGAAAAAGACACAGCTAGTTCGATCCCCGGTACCAAAAAACAAAAACAAAACAAAGACACAGCTACCAACAGCTGAAATGATAAGAAGAAACAGTAAGGCAGGCTTTCCTCTTTGGAGTTCATCATTAAGCAGTCTTGATAACTTCAAGCCTATTTTCCAGCCCCAATAGGAGAACAAAAGTAGCGGACAGCATTTGGCCACTGCTCATCAGGTTGTCGTAGGAACAGGGTTTTCTGCTTTACTGAACATCAGCTATACCCCATATTTGTCAAAATGTAGTGTACAGCATTTTATTTTTCTATTCATTTCCGTTGCATCTTTTGGTTTCAAAATGTATAATTTATGACTTATTTTTTAAAATATATTTTTGTTTTTGATAGGTGGCAAGAAGACTTTCTTTAATCAAACATCCAGAATGCTCCAGCGTGAGTGGTGGGAAAGCTATAGAACATTTGGCCAAACAAGGAGATAGATTTCATCTTGATATCAATCCACCCATGCATCTTGTTAAAAATTGTGATTTTTCTTTTATCGGACTTCAACATATTATTGATAAAATAATAATGCAAAAGGAAAAAGAGGAAGGTATATTTCCAGTTAGTAAAGTTGGACAGATAAATATTCCTGGGTTGTGCCTAAAAGTACCTACTTATTTTTGCAGGTGTTGAAAAGGGGCGAGTCCTGTCTTCAGCTGCAGACATCGCTGCTGCGGTACAGCACACATCAGGCAGAAGACGGCATACGAGATCCTGGTAGGTGACTGGAGTTCAGACGTGTGCTCTTCCACATCGCTGCTGCGGTACAGCACACAACAG